AAAAAAAAAGAAAAAAATTAGCCAGGCCTAGTTGCACACGCCTGTAATCCCAGCTAGTCGGGAGGCTGAGGCAGGAGAATCGCTTGAACCTGGGAGGCAGAGGTTGCAGTGAGCTGAGATCACACCACTGCGCCCCAGCCTGGTCAACAGAGTGAAACTCCATCTCAAAATAAATAAATAAATAAAAGTATGTTAAGAAGGATGGAAGTTCCTTAGCACAGTCACAGAAGCCCTTTCTGAGGAAATCACATTTAAGCAAAGATACAAAGGAGACAGTGGAGGGAACCATGCAGATATCTGGGGGAAGAGCATTCCCAGCAGAGAACTACCAATGCAAAGGTCCTGAGGTGGCCAGCATGGTGGCTCACGCCTGTAATCCCAGCACTTTGGGAGGCTGAGACGGGTAGATCACAAGGTTATGAGATCGAGACAATCCTGGCCAACATGGTGAAATCCCATCTTGACTAAAAATACAAAAATTAGCTGGGCGTGGTGGCACTTGCTTGTATTCCCAGCTGCAAGGTGGCTAGGGCAGGAAAATCGCTTGAACCTGGGAGGCAGAGGTTGCAGTGAGCCAAGACTGCACCACTGCACTCCAGCCTGGCGACAGAGTGAGACTCCGTCTCAAAAAAAATTTTTTTTAAAAAAAAGACCCTGCCTTCTGCTGTGAGATTGAGAGCTGTTGAAAGATTTTGAGCAGAAAGATGATGTGGTCCAACTTCGAGGTTAACAGTGTAGCTCTGGATGTGTAAGAATAGACGGTAAGCCGGGCATGGTGGCTCACACCTGTAATCTCAACATTTTGGGAGGCTGAGGCAGGTGGATCACCTGAGGTCAGGAGTTCGAGATCAGCCTGGCCAACATAGTGAAACCCCTACTCTACTAAAAAATACAAAAATCAGCCGGGCGTGGTGGCACGTGCCTGTAATCTCAGCTACTCAGGAGGTTTAGGTAGGAAAATGGCTTGAACCCGGGAGGTGGAGGTTGCAGTGGGCCACAGTGGTGCCACTGCACTCCAGCCTGGGCAACAGAGTAAGACTCAATCTCAAAAAAAAAAAAAAGAGGGGTCAGCTGTGGCCCAAGAAAGGACAGGGACCAAGCCCACGCAGGTGCCCCTCTGTGTTGCACTAGTGTGGGCCTTGGCTCCCACCCTGAACATCTCGTCTCATCTTTAAATGTCTTCAGGTGTCCTCCGCCAGGAAGCCTGGGTCAGGCGCTTCCTCCTGGGCATCTCTAGTCTTCATGGGAACCACGGGTCGAGTGTCAGCCTACCCCAGGGTAGGAGCCCCCAGCCCTCAACCCCAGATCCCAGCTAGGCCTCCTAGCCTTGCCGAACCCTGAGGCTGACGCGGACTTCAGCGTCTTTTAAAACTTCCAGCGCGGACTTCGCGGTGGCACGGGAGGGGCCTCCGAACTTTCCTGCGTTCTCAAAGGTCCAGATTCCACATTGGGGACGGGACCAACTGACTTTACTTTGCTCTCATTAGCCTGTGTTCCTCCAGGAAGGCGGGACCGCCTATCTTCGCTGCGCTCTCATAGGCCCAGGTTCTTGTGCTTGTTTGTCCTTCTCTCACTCTGATTGGCCTATATTCCCCCTGAGGGTGTGGCCAACTCTCATTGGCCCTTCGCCGGGCGTATGACGTCATGTGCCAGCGCCCGTCGCTTTTGCTGTACGTCATCCTCGGGAGCCCACCCTGACGAAGGCGGAGAGTAGACAGCAGAACCGGCGGTGGCGGCGGCGGCGGCGGCGGCGGCTACGCTGAGACAGTAGTAGCGGCGACAGCGACGGCGGCAGCGATGGCTGGGGCGGGGCCAGCCCCGGGACTCCCAGGTGCAGGAGGACCCGTGGTCCCGGGCCCTGGCACTGGCATCCCGGGCAAGAGCGGCGAGGAACGCTTGAAGGAAATGGAGGCGGAGATGGCCCTGTAAGGCCCGCAACAGGGAGAGATAAAAGTCGTCCCAGAGCCAGAGCCAGAGCATCCGAATCCCGGAGCCTCCAGGCCTCGATTGGCCGGAGATACGGCTCTAACATGGGGAAATGGGAACTTCGGGATTGTGGGGACGGGGATAGGGGAGAGGTTGGCAGGAGTGAGGGTCCCCGCGCAATGTACCCAGAGTTCCAAAATTGGTACGAGATCCTGAGCTCTGGTGTCTGTTCTATTCCTCCAGGTTTGAGCAGGAAGTTCTAGGGGCTCCAGTACCCGGAATCCCAACTGCTGTGCCTGCAGTGCCCACGGTCCCCACGGTAGAAGCGATGCAGGTCCCAGCGGCTCCTGTGATTCGCCCAATTATTGCGACCAACACATACCAGCAGGTACGGTTGAGCTAAGGCATATAAGTCAGGGAACACAATACCTCGAACACAGTAGGTGTTTGTGTACAGAGAGCTGCTGAAGTTTTGGCTTTTTGATTAATTAGCATGACAAATTTTTTATGTGCCAGGCATTGAGAACACAGTAATGACTAAGACAGACATTTCTGCCCTTTGGGATTTTATATTCTAGAGCATGCTGTCCAGTAGAGCTTTCTGCAATAACGGAAATGTTCTGATGTATTTCAAATTTATATTTAATAGTTCCTTATTCCCAGTCACATTTCAAGTGCTCAATAGCCAACCATATATGAATAGTAGAGAAGGAGAGAGAAATTATTATGATGAAAATAGGCTGGACACGGCTGTAATCCTAGCATTTTGTGAGGCTAAGGCAGGAAGATCGCTGGAGGCCAGGAGTCAACCTGGGCAACACAGATCCTGTCTCAAAAAAAAAAGGGCAGAAAAATTAGCCAGGCCTGGTGGCACAAGCCTGTAATCAGAGCTACTAGGGAGGTTGAGGTAGGAGGATTGTTTGAGCCCAGGAGTTCAAGGCTGCAGTGAGCTATGATCATGCCACTGCACTCCAGCCTGGGTGACAGAGCAAGACCTAGTCTCTGCAAAAAATTAAAGTTAAAAAATGAAAATGAGCAAATGAAACTTGTTCATTCTGTCAACAAATAATTATCAGGTGCCTTTTATGCACCAGTCACCATTCTAGGCATTCAGCATATACAAAAGCCAAGTACAAAACAAAAATAATCACTGTATTTTTGGGGCCTGTAATCCCGGCACTTTGGGAGGCTGAGGTGGGTGGATTGCTTGAGGTCAGGAGTTGGAGACCAGCCTGGCCTACCTAGTGAAACACGGTTTCCGCTAAAAAAATACAAAAATTGGCCAGACCGGGTGGCTCACACCAGCACTTTGGGAGACTGAGATGGTTGGATCACAAGGTCAAGAGATCAAGATCATCCTGGCCAACATGGTGAAACCCCATCTTTACTAAAAACAAAAAAATTAGCTGGGTGTGGTGGCGCACACCTGTAGTCCCTGCTACTTGGGAAGCTGAGGCAGGAGAATTGCTTGAACCTTTGAGGCAGAGGTTGCAGTGAGCTGGGATTGTGCCACTGCACTCCAGCCTGGCAATAGAGCAAGACTCCATCTCAAAAAAAAATAAAGAAAAAAANCAAAAAAAAAAAAAAAAAAAAAATAGACTGTAAGGGATGAGGGCAGAATCCAGGAGATGGAGGAAGGGGCTTGTACAGTAATCTAGGCAGGCGCTGATGGTGGCTGGCATGGAGGTTGTGCATGGGAGATGGGGAGGACAAGCTGGACACAGTTTCAGTCAGTGCTAAGTGCTATAGGGAAGATGAAATAAGGTGGTAAGAGAAGCCGGGGCCGGGAGCCCTAGTGTAATCCCAAAAGCCTCCCTGAGAAGTGGCATTTTAGCCAAGACCTGAGATAGCCAGCTATATACAGAGCACTCAGCATGAAGCTCTTGGCCTCTTGGGGTGAGCTAGTCAACAGCAGATGGGGAGCGCTGAGTCAGGCCCCTAACCCTGACCTCTTCCCTGACAGGTCCAGCAGACTCTGGAGGCCCGGGCAGCCGCTGCAGCCACAGTAGTTCCTCCCATGGTGGGTGGCCCTCCTTTTGTGGGTCCTGGTAAGTAGAGTGGCAAGGTGAGGGGGTCGGGTGGTAAAAACGTGTGCCCAGGACTCTCCTCCCACCATCCTTGTCTCTCCCCTCCCAATAGTTGGCTTTGGCCCTGGAGATCGGAGTCACCTGGACAGTCCAGAGGCTCGAGAAGCCATGTTCCTGCGGCGAGCAGGTGAGTCTGGGGCTAGGGACCCCACATTTAATCAGGCACTCTTGTTTACATGACTTCAGCCTCTTGCCTAAATCCTCACTCAAATCTCCCTTTGCATTTCACCCCAACTTGATGTTGTCATCCTAAAGCACAAACTCGATCATGTCCTTCCTGATTATGTCAAGTCAACTTTGTTTCAACCTGACCATTGCAAACCAACCCTCCTGCTGTCAGTCCTATTCCCAAATTCCCACAGCACCTAACACCTTATAACAAGCTATACCATTGCTTATATAGTATGGCTATCATCTTTTGCTTTCTATGAAATATAAGCTCCATGAGGGGCAGAAGTCTCAGTATCTGCCGCATAGGAAGCATTGTGTACTGTCTGTTGATGGGATGGACAGACCGTCCAGACAAGCACCAGGCTCTTCCCCTGGCAGTCCTAGCTCCTTACAGAGAGATCCCAGCAGCCCGAACATTTCTGGAATGTGCCAGCCGTGCTTTTGTTGAGGTCCCTTCTCTCCCTGCTCACTGTCACCTGGCTATAATCTTCCAGCCATCTTCCCCCCAGGCCATTTTCCACTTTCCACCTTTTGTTCCTCAGGTTACCTTTACTCGCACTGTCAATTGTCAGTTTGTAGGACATTACTTCCTTATATGTATGAAAAGGATGCGTGTTCTTATTTGGATGTAAAATTCTGGTATAATCTCTATTAAACCAAACATGCTACTTATATTACCTAAATCCTGTTAATACTTTTTAATCTGATGATCCCTGAGAAGCTGTAATGTCTTTTACTTTTTAGTATGGTTTTGATTAAAATGCAAATCTGACTTCCCCTGCCCAGCTTCCAACCCTGCTGTGGCTCCCCATTGCCCTCAGGAGGATACCCATGGCTCAGCCAAGAATGCTGTGCTTGGGTGCCTGCTGGCCACGCAGCCCCTCTCACGACACTCTCTAATCCCCACTTCTTCTATTACAGTTACACTAAACTGAAAAGGGAAGAGGTTTTGCTTACAGGTGTTCTCCCTGCCAATAATATTCCCACTCACCCTTTGCCTAATGCTTCATTATCCTTCGGGTCTCAGCTCACAGGTCCCTTTCTCCAGGAAGCCCTCCCTAGGCCTGGCTGGGTCAGAGGGCTCCCCTGGGCTCCAGAGGCTCCCTGGGCTCCCATTTCTTAGCACTGATCCCTCTGCCTGGGCTTCCCTGCTTCCAGCCCTGGTCCCTGTGGGCTCTCCTTGTCTAGTGATGCCTCCATTCCCTCCTCTTCTGGACCAGGAGCTCCCTGAGGACCCTGGGCCTATTGGTGTGTCCCAGCATTGCCTGCCACAGGGCTGAGCCGGAGGAGCACCTCTGGTGAATTTTCATGGAATGAACCAGGGGAGAGGCCCCACATCTCCAGGAGGGTCCCCAGACTCTTCTTCAGGATTTCTTGGATCCTGAGACTGCACACACACACAAACACACACACGTGTGCACACCTTGCCCCAAGTGCCCCTGTCCCCCATGACACACACCCCCATCTCTCTCTCCCACAGCTGTGGCCCCCCAGAGGGCCCCTATCCTGCGTCCAGCCTTCGTCCCCCACGTGCTACAGAGAGCAGGTGAGGGGCCAGGGTCATCAGCCCTGCCACATAACTCCCCCCAGGCCCTGGAACTCCCCACTAACACCCTGACAGATTCCGCTCTCTCCTCTGCAGCAGCTGGCCCCCGCCCTATGGCCCTGCGGCCCCCTCACCAGGCCCTCGTGGGCCCCCCTCTGCCTGGTCCTCCTGGACCACCCATGATGCTGCCACCAATGGCTCGGGCTCCAGGGCCCCCACTAGGCTCCATGGCTGCGCTGAGGCCCCCTCTGGTGAGTGTGGAAAGGAAACTAATGGTCAGAGGTGTGGTGGGTGGGGACACCATCCATCCTGGCCCTATGGGCTGTGTCTGAGTTGGCCTCTCTCCTGGCTTTTTGTTTCTCTACCTTCTCGCTCTGCTTTTGTCTCTTTCTGCATCTGTCTTTCTGTGACAGAATCTCTATGTTCTCCCCTTTTGTGAAGGGAGTACAGAGAGAAACATGTGCTATTGGAGTATTTCTCATTTGATTGTTCCCGATGTTCTTGTCTGTGGCTGTCTCTCTCTGCCTGTGTTCCTCCCGCTCTGTGTTTGTCTGGTTGGAGACTCCTGTGCCTGGCCGTCTCTGGGCTGCTCTCAGGGCCCCAGGCACTTGCTTTGTTGGATGGAATGGGGATGAGAGTAAGGTCTGAGCTTGTGAGCCAGCCCTCGTCATGCTCTTCTCTTACCTACAGGAAGAGCCAGCAGCACCCCGAGAGCTGGGCCTAGGCCTGGGGCTAGGCCTGAAAGAAAAGGAAGAGGCAGTGGTGGCGGCAGCAGCTGGGCTGGAGGAGGCTAGTGCGGCTGTGGCTGTGGGGGCAGGAGGTGCCCCAGCTGGCCCCGCAGTCATTGGGCCCAGCCTGCCGCTGGCCCTGGCCATGCCACTGCCCGAGCCTGAGCCCCTGCCCCTCCCGCTGGAAGTCGTCCGAGGCCTCCTGCCCCCACTGCGCATTCCTGAACTCCTGTCCCTGCGTCCTCGGCCCCGGCCCCCTCGGCCAGAGCCACCCCCTGGTCTCATGGCCCTCGAGGTGAGCAGGGAGCCTAGCAGTGAGGGAATAGAGGAGATGGGGGGCAGACAGGGTCCCAGGAACTTCCATACCACAGACTAGGCAGTGGTAAGACCTGGGGGGAGGGAGGTGGACATGTGCGCCCCACATGCAGAAGCACATCCAGCCCTTACCACGGTGGCAGGGGGCCCAGGGGCCAAAAGACAGTGGGAGACCCCAATACCAAGCCCTTTGCACCCCTCCCCTCTCCTCTGCAGGTCCCAGAGCCCCTGGGTGAAGACAAGAAGAAGGGGAAGCCAGAGAAATTGAAACGCTGCATTCGCACAGCAGCGGGGAGCAGCTGGGAGGACCCCAGCCTGCTGGAGTGGGATGCAGGTAAGTGGCTGAAGCTCGAGGTCAGGCATGGGTCAGCCAAGGTCAGACCGGGCTGCTATCCGTGGCCTCAGGCCGGGAGGGTGAGCCCAGTAACTCCATCCATCTCAGTAGAGTGGGCGCTGTTGTTAGCCCACCTCGGGGAGGGGAGGCTGTGGCTCAGGGGCCTATTCCTTACCCAGCCATGGGCCGGAGCTTGGCGGGGGTAACTGGGACATGGGGCTTTGTAGTCCCTGTTTTACTTAGGAAGCACCTGGCTTCCTAAAGGTCAGAGAGCATTTTGTCTCCCAACTCTTAGGAAAAATTGTAAACACAGAATAGCACAGTAAACAGCCTTCTATCCACCACCTAGATTCTGCAATTAACATTTTGCTGTGTTGACTTTTTTCCTTTTTGTGTATGTAGATGGTTTGTCATTTGGAGCAAGTTGCAAGTGGCGTAATAACTTCACTTCTAAATACCTCAGTATTTATCTCCTAAGAAAAGAGATATTTTGGCCAGGCACAGTGGCTCATACCTGTAACCCCAGCACTTTTGGGAGGCCGAGGCAGGTGGATCACTTGAGGTCAGGAATTTGAGACCAGCCTAGACAACATGATGAAACCCAGTCTCTACTAAAAATACAAAAAAATTGGTTAGGCGCAGTGGCTCCCGCCTGTCATCCCAGCACTTTGGAGGCCAAGGCAGGCAGATCACTGAGATGGGAGTTTGAGACCAGCCTGACCAACATGGAGAAACTGCATCTCTACTAAAAGTACAAAATTAGCTGGGCATGGTGATACATGCCTATAGTCCCATCTACTCAGGAGGCTGAGGCAGGATAATCCCTTGAACCCGGGAGGTGGAGATTGCGGTGAGCCAAGATTGTGCCATTGCACTCCAGCCTGGGCAACAAGAACAAAACTCTGCCTCAAAAAAAATAACTAAATAAATAATAGCCAGGTGGTGTGGCAGGTGCCTGTCATCCCAGCTACTTGGGAGGCTGAGACAGGAGAAGCACCTGAACCCAGGAGGTGGAGTTTGCAGTGAGCCATGATCGCTACACTACACTCCAGCCTGTGCAATAGAGCAAGACTCCATCTCAAAAAAAGAAAGGAGATATTTTTTTCATATCGTACTACCGTTATCATCTCTAAGAAAATTAACTAATTCTGCAGTATCTTATATTCGGTTTATATGCGTATTTTTTTAGGCACCCTAAAACTCTGTTAGAGCTATTCATGTTTTTGTCCTGAATCAGGATGCATGCAATTTTATGTCCCTCGATTATATCTTAAGAACAGTCGCTTTCCTGCCTCTTTGTTTTGTATATGTTTTTGGAAGTGTCCAGGGCAGTTGTCGTGTACAAGGTCCCACCTTCTGAGTTTGTCCGGTTCTTTGCTCCTGGCGTGGCCTAACATGTGCTTAGAATGTCCCAAATCACCACGGAAGCCATGGGGCAGCCACAGCAATGGCTGAAGAAGGAGATGGACCCCCTCCTGCCTCACTGTTTGACTTCTGTCTTCTCTCCTTGGAACATCTACCTGGCCCAGAGAAAACACTAGCTTTGTGACCTTGGGCAAGTCACTTAGCCTTTTTTGTTTGTTTTTTGAGACAGTCTCACACTGTTGCCCAGGCTAGAGTACAGTGGTGCAATCTTGGCTCACAGCAACCTCCGCCTCCTGGGTTTAAGCAATTCTCCCACCTCAGCGTCCCGAGTAGCTGGGATTACAGGCACTCACCACCACACCCATCTAATTTTTCTATTTTTTTTTTTTTTTAGTAGAGATGAGGTTTCACCATGTTGGTCAGGCAGGTCTTAAACTCTTGACCTCAAGTGATTCCACCTGTCTTGGCCTCCCAAAGTGCTGGGATCACAGGCGTGAGCCACTGCGCTTGGCCCATTTAGCCTTTTAAGCCTCATCTTCCTCATCCCCAGCCTTGTGGGGACAGGGATTCATTGGGACGGAGCATGTTCAGCAGAGGCACAGGCCCAACCCAGAGGCAGCGTGAGAATGTCAGCTGGGTGCAGTTGTGGCAGAGGAGCTGGCAGTATGTCCAGGTCTCAAGGGGGATTTAGGGCGGGATCTACAGGGGAAGCAGGGCTGAGGAAAGATGAAGCCCGTGTTCCTGAGGTGCCATGATGGTCAGCCAGTGGGTGTCAGGGGACCGGGGGACACCAAGGCTCAGAGGAAAGGCCAGGGCTGGGGCAGAGTTAGCAGTGTTACCACGGGAATGAGTGAGGTGGTCCTGGGGTGGGGAGGGCAGTGCAATTCAAGGTTAAAACTAAGGACTCAAGCCAGGTGCTTCTTTTCCCAGCTCTGCCACTTCCTGCTTGTGTCACTTTGGGCAGTGACTTGACCTTTCTGTGCCTCAGTGTAAAAGCATCATTGGGAGTGCCAGAAATGGAAACCTCCCTCCAGGTGCTCAGCCGAGCTCCTGGCACAGGGTCAGTAGGTGTTGGCCATTATTACTAAGAGGTCTCTAAGCAGAGACTGGATGCCTCTGAAAAGGTGGGGTCATTCAGACAAGGTAGACATCGGGCAAGGCCTCTGCATCCTCTGACGTCATCCCCCGCCACCCCTAGATGACTTCCGGATCTTCTGTGGGGATCTGGGCAATGAGGTGAACGATGACATCTTGGCACGCGCCTTCAGCCGCTTCCCATCCTTCCTTAAGGCCAAGGTGATCCGTGACAAGCGCACAGGCAAGACCAAGGGCTACGGCTTCGTCAGCTTCAAGGACCCCAGTGACTACGTGCGCGCCATGCGTGAGATGAATGGTGGGTGAGGCTGCTCCTGGGGAAATTGGGTGCGGCAGGCATTGGCCTAAGCCTGACCCGAGCCTGCCTTGAACCCTCTGTCCCCACAGGGAAGTATGTGGGCTCACGCCCCATCAAGCTTCGCAAGAGCATGTGGAAGGACCGGAACCTGGACGTGGTCCGCAAGAAGCAGAAGGAAAAGAAGAAGCTGGGCCTGAGATAGGGTCTGTGGCTGGGCACCCGTTCCCACCTGGCCGGGCGCTAGCTCCTTCCTCAGTTCTCTTTGGAAACCCCCCAGCTATCCACCCACCCCCCCACCCCAAAACCAGTTTCAATAAATTTACGTTCATTTCCACCCCTGGCTGGGTGTGGAAGCACGCTGTGGGGAGCAGGGCTTGGCTTCCCCACACCTGGAAGTGGCAGGGAGCCTGGAGAGTTTACCCAGGCGGGCACCTCTGAGCCCTTCCTGCGCTCCCATTCCCTCTTCAAACCTCTTCCACACATGCTAAGTGCCGACTAGTCCAGAGGAGAAAATGGGGGCGGATGGCAAGGGTGAAAACAAGCTGAGGCCCAGACCTGTGTCCTGGCTACTTCCTATGTTCTCAGCACCAAGGTAGGGGATCTTCTAGGCCCCACCCTTCTGGAACTCACAGGCTTCTCGGCCCTCTTCCATCCAGCAGACTCTCACCGAGGGTCTGGACAGTTCTTGGGGACACGATGGTAACTGAAAGTCCTGGGCCCTCCACCCTTAGAGTTCAAGGTCCAGTGGCAGAAAATAGGCCCAGTGCCCTGACAGTGAGGGCCCAGAGTGGTCAGGGCAGGATGGGGGCGCCAGAGGGCTGACCTGTGGGTGAGGGGACCCTTCCTGAAGGAACTGGCCACCCCTAAGTCTCTTGTGGGGTTTTCCAGCTTCTCCACCCTGCTGTGCCAGCCAGTTCACTGCGCCGTGAGTCTCAGTGGACACCTCTGTATCTCACTGTCTCTGTGGTTGCCACTCCATTTCTTGTCCCTAAGCTTCTGTATCCCTGTCGGTCTCTGTTCTTTCCCTTGGAGCTGGAAAACGAAAGAGGAGAGACCCACAGAGACTTGGAATCTGTCCCCTTTTTCCCAGCTCCAAGCTGGCCTCTGCCTGTGTGAAGAGGTATCTGTGCAGGGCCTTGAATGCCAGGCTGTAGAGCTTAAACTTTGTCCTGAAGGGAGCAGCTAGCCCCAAAAAGCTGAGAAGATTCAAGCAGCAGCAAGGTCCTGGCAGCACAGATGTGCACTGTAGAAGGAGCCCTGCAGCCACCACTGTGGAATGAGGCTGGGGCAGGGAGCAGGCCAAAGGAGGGAGATGGCAGGGTTTGAGTATGGGGAGGAGAGAAGCGTCTCCTAGGGACACAGTCATCAGAACCCTCCATTAGGAGGGGCAGGTTGGGCAAGACTGGGGCATAAGTTGGATGGACAATACCAAGGCCTCTCAGGGACCGAGATCTCCCTGGAGAGGTGTCGAATTTCTCCTGTTCCTGTCTTCCTGCCTTACTGCCTCCTCTCTGACGTCACATTTTCCAGTCTGGTCAGAGGGTGAGGGCCTCCCTCCCTGGCAGGAAGTGCCCTTTAGCCCCCTGCCACCTGGGCCAGACCACCCAGCCCAGGATCCTCAAAGCCCCTTCCCCCCATCACTAGCCTTCCCTACCCTGATCCTGCTTCTGTTTCCCCACCTCCTGGGTTCAGGCATAGAGGCACGGGAGGAGACAGGAAGAGAGGATGACTCCAGAAAGGAGGCTTCCAAATGCATGTGATTGTCACTACCGAGTGGAAGCAGAACAGTGGGTACAGGTGGACGTGCAGAGTGGAGTAACAGGCACTGGAGACCCCGAAACTCGGGAGTGAGTGTGGGGGAGGCTGGACAATTGCCAGTTGGGTACATTGCTCATTATTTGGGTGCACTAAAGGCCCAGGCTTCAAGGTGACATATATCCAGTAAGGGATCTACTAGTACCCGCTCAATGTTTTTCTTTTCTTTTTTTTTTTTAAAGAGATGGGGTTCTACCATGTTAGCCAGCCTGGTCTCTAACTCCTGACCTTAGGTAATCCACCCACCTCAGCCTCCCAAAGTGCTGGGATTATAGGCGTGAACCACCTTACCCGGCCTTCTCTCTTTTTCTGAGACCGAGTTTTGCTCTGTTGCCAGGCCGGAGAGCAGTGGCATGATCTCGGTTCACTGCAACTTCTGCCTCCCAGGTTCAAGTGATTCACCTGCCTCAGCCTCCCAAGTAGCTGGGACTACAGGCCTGTGCCACCATGCCTGGCTAATTTTTTGTATTTTGGTAGAGACGGGGTTTCGCCATGTTGGCCAGGATGCCTCAGCCTCCCAAAATGCTGGGAGCCCACTTCCTTTTTTTTTTTTTTTTTTTTTTTTTTTTTTTTTTTTTTTTTTTTTTTTTTTTTTTTTTTTTTTTTTTTGTGTCTGTTTTTCTCTCTTTTTTTTTTTTTTTTTTTTTTTTTTAAATGTACACGAGTCTTCCTGAGGACAGGGAGAGACAGACAGAATGTAGCAGACAGACAGAGATGGAACCATAAGCAGGAGGCTCAGAGGCACAGAAATGAGAACCATCAGAGACTGTGCAGTGGGAAGGGAGATGGGGAGAAAACCAAGAGACAGATGGAGACAGACGAGGAGGTGAGATAGGAACACTCGAACACAGATGGGGAGGGACAGATGTCAGAAGAGACTGGGTGACAAAGCCTCACTGGAGTCAGGCCCATGGCAGAAGACCCAGCTCTAGAGATGCCAATCTGAAGAAAGGGCAGAGATACATGGAGAGACACAGATGAGAGGCCAGCTTCAAGGATGGGAGGCCAGGACTTCCTTTAGGCCCCCATGCTGGATGGATAGAGGGACCAGTGATCCCCCAGCTCTGTGGCTCACCCCACACTGCTTCCATTCCCAGTCCCACTCCCACCTCATGGGACCCTGATAAAGGGACTCCCTCGTGGAGCCCAGTTTACTTTCTGTAAAATGGAAGGAGGAGCAGTGCCCCCCACCAGAACAGCAAGTAGTTAATGATCAAGAAGCTGGGTGAGGCCGGGTGCGGTGGCTCAAGCCTGTAATCCCAGCACTTTGGGAGGCCGAGGCGGGTGGATCACGAAGTCAAGCGATCGAGACCATCCTGGTCAACACGGTGAAACCCCGTCTCTACTAAAAATACAAAAAATTAGCTGGGCATGGTGGCACGTGCCTGTAATCCCAGCTACTCAGGAGGCTGAGGCAGGAGAATTGCCTGAACCCAGGAGGCGGAGGTTGCGGTGAGCCGAGATCGCGCCATTGCACTCCAGCCTGGGTAACAAGAGTGAAACTCCGTCTCAAAAAAAAAAAAAAAAAAGAAGCTGGGTGAAGATTGGAAGACGCCCATATGCAAGAGTTACTTTTAATGGTAAATATTATATACTTATTAAAGTAGAGCAGAATGGGCTGGGCGCAATGGCTCATGCTTATAATTTCAGCACTTAGGGAAGCTAAGGCAAGTGGATAGCCTGAGGCTAGGAGTTTGAGACCAGCCTGGCCAACATGGCAAAACCCCATATCTACTAAAAATACAAAAATTAGGCCAGGTATCATGGCTCACGCCTGTAATCCCAGCACTTTGGGAGGCCAAGGCGGGTGGATTACCTGAGATCAGGAGCTCAAGACCAGCCTGGCCAAGATGGTGAAACCCCGTCTCTACTAAAAATACAAAAAATTAGCTGGATGTGGTGGCTTATGCCTGTAATCCCAGCTACTCTAAAGGCTAAGGCGGAAGAATCGCTTGAACCCTGGAGGCTGAGGTTGCAGTGAGCCAAGATCGCGCCACTGAACTTCAGCCTGAGCAACAGAGAGATTCCCTCTCAACACACACACACAGAGAAAACAAAAATTAGCTGGGCATGGTGGTAGACACATGTAATTCCAGCTACTTGGGAGGCTGAGGCAGGAAAATCACTTGAGCCTGAGAGGCAGATGTTGCAGTGAGCCAAGATTGTGCCACTGCACCCCAGCCTGGGTGACAAAGTGAAACTCTGTCTCTTAAAAAAAAATACAGCAGGATGGGCACAGTCTGAAGCCAAGTTACCTGGGTTAAGGGTTGCAGAGTTAGCAAATAAAAATATAGGATACCCAGTTATTTAATTTTACATAAACAATTTTTTTTTTTTTGAGACAGAGTTTTGTTCTTGTTGCCCAGGCTGGAGTGCAATGTGTCAATCTTGGCTCACCGCAACCTTCACCTCCCGGGTTCAAGCGATTCTCCTGCCTCAGCCTCCCAAGTAGATTAGCCACCACCACACCTGGCTAATTTTTTGTATTTTTAGTAGAGACAGGGTTTCACCATGTTAGCCAGGTTGGTCTCGAACTCCTGATGTCAGGTGATCCACCTGCCTTGGCCTCCCAAAGTTTTGGGATTACAGGCATAAACCACAGCACCCAACTGCAAGTTACAGCCATTATAACATTTCATCTCTGAGTTCATTTCCTAACGATATCTTTCATCCTGAATACCATTATCACATCTAAGAACATAATTCTATGATATTTCATATTCAGTTCATACTCCAATTTGCCCAATTGCCCCAAACTATTACAGCACAGAAGGACACGGGGTCTAGAGAAGAAGGGCAGTGGAAAGATGCCTGCCTTCATTTGCCCCATAGGATTCAATGAAGGCACATGGCATAGTTGGTGTCACACAATGAACCCTCATTTGATGTTGGCTGTTATTGCTACTATTGTTATTGTTGAAATTGTTGATGTCAATATTGCTATGATTGGCACTCCTGAGAAGCAGCCCCTACTCGGCCTGGTGGGAGATTGGGTCCGCCTTCACTCCCACTCCACCCCCGGCAGTCACTCTGCCGATTGTGACGTCAGCTGATGCTGGGGGGCGTGGGGGGATCTGGCCGGAAATCCCTCTTCCTGTTGTAGATAAGCCCAGCTCAGCCCAGATGACCCCAGACTCTCCTCCCTCACTCCCCCATGTCGCAGGATCAAGACCCCGAGGCAGAGAACCTGTTCACCAAGCCCCCCGCCCCGCCCCTATCGCCCTGTAAACATCTCCCAGCTCCCGCCCTCTCTCACCTAGCCCGCTGTTCCCCAAGTCCCCGTCCAAGCCCACGCCACCCCTGCAGTAAGGCAGCCCCAGAGGCCAGCGCCCATCCTCGAGGCAGGGGTCGCGGCTCGGCCTCGGCCCCGCCTCCGCCCTTGCAACTTGAGCCTAGCTGCGACCCCTGCTCTGACGTCTCGGAAAATTCCCCCTTGCCCAGGCCCTTGGGGGAGGGGGTGCATGATATGAAATGGGGCTGAGACCCCCGGCTAGGGGCAGAGGAACCCGCCAGAGGTGAGCCATGAACTGAGGACTGGATGCCTGGGTGTCTGGGTTAGGAAGGACCTGGGGGACTAGACTCCCAAGATGCCGGGGGCCTGGACTCCTGGATCTGAGAGACTGAGAGGGCTGTGGTCCCTCACTCCCGGGACCAAGATTCTAGGCTCCTGGGGAAGGAGGGAGCGGAGGCCTGGACTCCTGGCTCTGAGGGAAGCCAGGGCTGGGGCCCAGACTCCAGAGCCTCCAAGTGTCACCAGCTCACCCATTGCCATGTGGACTTTTCCTAACCCAGAACATTCAGAAGGAGCATCCATGGACCTGTGGAACTGGGATGAGGCATCCCCCCAGGAAGTGCCTCCGGGGAACAAGCTGGCAGGGCTGGGTAGGCTGCCGGGGCTGCCACAACGTGTGTGGGGAGGGTGCCCAGGTGGGGCCTCTGCTGACCCTAACCCCTTATCGCCTGCAGAAGGAGCCGAATTCGGCTTCTATGTCTCTGATCTGGCGCTCCAGATCAGAGCTGTAAAGGTGGCTGCGGGCTGGGACTCCTGAGTGCTGGGAAAGAAGCAGGAGGCTGGGCTCCTAGGGCAAACGGAGGAGGGGGGCGTGCCTAGGCTCCTGGGGCTGGGTGGGGAAGGGCTGCGTGCTTGACCTCCTGAGGGTGGAGAAGGGGGCGCGAGATGCTGAAATAAGGGCTGGGGGGGTCATAACTCCCAGTCCCTGACAAGCAGACTAGAGGGTGGGTAGTTAGGGGTCTCTGTCATTGCTCACGCTCCTCCCTATACTCAGGTACGAGCTCATCCCTGGCAGGCTTCCCACAACTGGACTGGGGATCCGCGTTACTGTACCCAGAAGTTCCATGGGGGGCGGGTGAGTGTGGGGAAAGGCGGTGGGAGGAGGGGACTGGGGTTCCGAGGCACCGGGGCTGGAGGTGTAGACTCTTGATCTTTGAGGACTGAGAACACCTGAGCCCTCAAGGTGGCATGGCATGGATCCGGGACGGCCGGGCCCCAAGTGCCAGGGCTGAGAGCTTAGGACCGTAGAATTTTTTAGGGGACACCTGGGCCCCCCTCACTCGGGGTCCGTTACTCCTCACAGAACCCGACCCTCAGGCTCTTCCATGGTCGGGGAACTGGACAGACGAGGCGTGCACAGCGTGGGACTCTTGGAGCTGCTACTCTCAGACCCTGGGCCCCGCCCCTCCCGGCCCGGGCCCCGCCCCCGCCCCCGCCGCCTGCTCTGAAGGCGCCGCGGGTCAGAACTGTGTCCCCACGGCGGGAGGGGCCACCTCGTGGTCGCGCGCCCAGGCCACCGGGAGTACCCCCAGCTGGGACTGTTCTGTGGGCCCCGACGGCATCACCTACTGGGGCAGTGACCTCGGCGGGGAGCCGCGCACGGACTGTACCATTTCGTGGGGCGGGCCCGCGGGCCCGGACTGTACCACCTCCTGGAACCCGGGGCTGCGTGCGGATGGCACCACTTCTTTGAAGGGGTACCAGAGCTCAGCTCTCACCGCTTCTTCCGAACCGAGCCCGCAGTCGGATCGTGCCAGTTTGGCTCGTTGCTCCAAAACTAACCACCGAGGTGAGACGCCGCGAAGACGGTGGAGATGGCGAGGCTGGAGCCTTGAGCGGGGACCAAGGCACCTAAGGGGGCGGGGCCCGGGAAACTGACAGCGGGGGGGCGGGGCTTAGGGATAGATACTGGAGGGAGGAGGGGCCTGTGGGCCGCAGTCCCAGATCCTTGGGGAGGAGAGGACTAAGACAGCCTTCGAGGTCTTGTTAAGAGAGACTTATAGTCTTTTAGGGACCAAGGGGATGAGGACGCACGCTCCTGGATTATATAAAACGAAAGTGATGAAGGCCCAGACTCTGGGTCTCCAAGATGGGGAAGCCAAACTCCTAAATCTCTGACTGGGGCCCTGGACGCCTAAGTCCCCAAGGCTGACTGTTGGGTCTCCTATATAGAGGGATCTGAACTCGTGGATCCCAGAGAAGGGGGAATCTGGACTCCTGTGTCCCGAGTTGGGAGGACCCGGACCTCTAGATATTTAAAGGGGTGTGATCTAGGGCCGGGAAGACTGAGTGTGCCCCTCCCTTCACCTCGCAGGTCCCATTCAGCTGTGGCAGTTCCTCCTGGAGCTGCTCCACGACGGGGCGCGTAGCAGCTGCATCCGTTGGACAGGCAACAGCCGCGAGTTCCAGCTGTGCGACCCCAAAGAGGTGGGGCAGCTCTCCTGCCCAGCCAAGTCCTGCCCCGTCTCCTCTAGTTCAATTTAGCCCCCCCCAAGGGCTAGGTTCAATTGCCTAGACCTTGGCCCCGCCCCTCCCCGGCCCACTCGGTGGCCCGCCCAGCCCTTCTCAAACCCAGTCTCCCGCCTGGACTCTCGCCACTACCAACCCAGTTTCCACCAGTCGGCGGGGCCTCCCCCAGGTCTGCACTGCCCGCCGTCCCCAGGCCCGCCCCGCCCCTTCCCTCCCCTACCGAGCCCGGCCTCTGTCCTAGGTGGCTCGGCTGTGGGGCGAGCGCAAGAGAAAGCCTGGCATGAATTACGAGAAGCTGAGCCGAGGCCTGCGCTACTACTACCGTCGCGACATCGTGCGCAAGAGCGGGGGGCGCAAGTACACGTACCGCTTCGGGGGCCGAGTGCCCAGCCTAGCCTATCCGGACTGTGCAGGGGGCGGACAGAGAGCAGAGACCCAATAAAAATTCCCGATCAAACCTCGTCGCGCGTGCTCGTCTGATGCGTTCTTCCCCGCTGACACTGACTACACCCGCTAGGGAGCCTAAGTGTGCAGCTCCACATGTTGGAATCTGGCCTCCCCACGTCGGAGACCCAAGCGCCTAGGCCTTCATTTCTTTCCTCTCACATAATCCAGGAGCCTGGATCCTTGCTCCCTAAAAGACTGCAGTGTCTTAGTCCTCTCCTCTCCGAAGACTCTACAGTGCGGGCCACCAGTCCCAAGTCTCTTAAGCCCCTAGGTGCCTAAGCCCAGCTCCTCGCTGTCAGTTTCCAGGGCCCCGCCCCCTTAGGCCCCGCCTCTCGACTCCGCCTTCACTCCCTCCTCAGTCTTCGCAGACCTTAGTTTTGGGGTAAGGAACCACCTGCCTCCAGTGCTGGGCAATGACCAAAGGAGACCCAGACCTTTAGGGAGCCTGCCATGTGCCCGCCCTGTGACGGGAAAGGCAAAGAAACTAAATCCAAAGCCCATAGGGCCTACTGTGTGCCTGCCCTGTGTCGGAACTTGTAGAGGAATCAGGCCCATGAAAATATATCTGTCTGTTATGTCCTCTTGAAGAGAAGACTCAGACTCCGAAAACGGCTTACTCTGTGTCCTCCCAGGGCTAGGGTTGGTCAAGGAATTAAATCTAGTGCTTGCACCCCAATACCACCCACTCTTTTCCCCACTCCAAGCCTGAGGACACAGAACTCAGCCCTACATTCTAAAGACAGCCTATGCCATTCTGAGAGTCATTGAGTCCCTAAAGACAGACTGCTATGTGGTCATCCTGTGGGCGATGCTGGGGATACAGAGGGACCAAGACAGCCCCAGACCCTCCCCTCAGGGAGCTCACAGTCGGGTGGGAAGACACACCGATCACCAGAGTGTTTTGAGCTGGGATGAGAAGACTCCAGGGGATTGAAGGAGGCCACAAGGAAGGACCTGGCCTAGCCCAGGAGGAGAAAGGTGCAGGAGACTTCCTGGAGGAGACAGCTGATTTGAGAAGTCACGTAGGCAAAGAATGTTTTAGGCAGAAGGAACAAGAGCAAAGGCCCAGAGGTGGACAATCTCACACCACTGCTAAAAACTATCAATGTGGGCCAGGCATAGTGGCTCACACCTGTAATCTTGGCACTTTGGTAGGCTGAAGCAGGAGAATGGCTTGAGGCCAGGAGTTCCAGACCAGCCTGAGCAACATAGGGAGACCCCCATCTCTGTTAATAAATAAATAAATAAATAAATAAATAAATAAATAAATAAATGTGGCTACATCAGCAACAGGGACCAATTCATAAAGGATCTGTGGGCCCGTGATGAGGAGCCTGGACTTTGTCTCCAGGGCTCCTGGGGACCCATCCAGGGTTTTGTTTGTTTTTTGAGACAGTCTCACTCACGCCTGTAATCCCAGCACTTTGGGAAGCCGAGGCAGGTGGATCACCTGAGGTCCGAAGTTCAAGACTAGCCTGACCAACATCGAGAAACCCTGTCTCTACTAAAAATACAAAATTAGCCGGGCATGGTGGTGCATGCCTGTAATCCCAGCTACTTGAACTCGGGAGGTGAAGGTTGCGGTGAGCCGAGATCGCACCACTGCAATACAGCCTGGGCAACAAGAGCAAAACTCCATCCCCACCCCTCTAAAAAAGAAAAAAAAGGGCCAAATTGGCCAGGCACGGTAGCTCACGCCTGTAATTCCAGCACTTTGGGAGGCTGAGGCGGGCACATCACCTGAGATTAGGAGCTCAAGACCAGCCTGGCTGGGTGCAGTGGTTCACGCCTGTAATCACAGCACTTTGGGAGGCCGAGGCGGGCGGATCACCTGAGCTCAGGTGTTCAAGACCAGCCTGCCCAACATGGAAAATCTCTGTCTCTACTAAAAATACAAAACTTAGGTGGGTGTGGTGGTGCATGCCTATAATCCCAGTTACTGGGGACGCCGAGGCAGGAGAATCATTTGAACCTGGGAGGTGGAGGTTGCAGTGAGCCGAGATTGTGCCACTGCATTCCAGTCTGGGCGACAGAGCGAGATTCAGTCCAAAAAAAGAAAGAAAGAAAGAAAATAAAGGAAAGAAGAGAAAGAAGAAAGAAAGGAAGGAAGAAAGAAAGAAAAAGAAAGAAAGAAAAAAGAAAGAAGAAAAAGAAAGAAAAAAGAAAGAAAGAAAGAAGAAAGAAAGAAAGAAAAGAAAGAAAGAAAGAGAGAGAGAGAGGCAGGCTAAATTGTGTAGATCATTTATGAGGACATTGGCTTTAGACTAAGAGTCAGACCAGTATTCCTCTGGTGGGGTGGGCATATTGCTGAAGGCAGCTGGAAGCCAGGAGGCCAGGGAGTGTGCTACTGCAATAGTCCAGTCTGAAGGTGATGGTGGCCTGAACCAAATGGGCTAGAGGAAGATTATGGATATACTTGCAGGAAAAACCAACAGGATTTCTAGTTCAGCTATCGGGTATGAGAGAAGGATCAGAGACAAGGACTATTCTGTGGCAGCAGCAGAGTTAGTCATTTTCCCAAAGGGAACCATTTCTGCCAGGCCCTTCGTAGATCCAAGCTTTTTTTTTTTTTTTTCTTTGAGACAGGCTGGGGATTTCCAGCTGTCTGGAATCCCCTCCCACATAGTGGGAGCTCTCTTTCCCCTCCTGGATTTCCCTTCCACACTCTTCATGGAAGTTTTCTCTCTTCTTTTTTCTCTTTTCTCTGCCTGAATAAAATCACCTTTCTGCAACAACACCAATAAAAAAAGAGACAGGCTGGTCAGGAGTTCGAGACCAGCTGGACCCACGTGGTGAAACCCCGTCTAAAAAATACAAAACTTAGCCGAGCGTGGTGGTGGGCAGCTGTAGTCCCAGCTATTCGGGAGGCTGAGGTGGGAGAATCGCTTGAACCCGGGAGGCGGAGGTTGCAGTGAGCCGAGATCGCACCACTGCCCTCCAGCCTGGGCCACAGAGGAAGATCCTGTCCATAAAAAAACTTTTTTTTTTTTTTTTTTTTTTTTTTGAGACAGAGTTTCGCTCTTGTTACCCAGGCTGGAGTGCAATGGCACGATCTCGGCTCACCGCAACCTCCGCCTCCTGGGTTCAGGCAATTCTCCTGCCTCAGCCTCCTGAGTAGCTGGGATGACAGGCACGCACCACCATGCCCAGCTAATTTTTTGTAGTTTTAGTAGAGACAGGGTTTCACTATGTTGACTAGGATGGTCTCGATCTATTGACCTCGTGATCCACCCGCCTCTGCCTCCCAAAGTGCTGGGATTACAGGCTTGAGCCACCGCGCCCGGCCAATAAAAAACTTTTTAAAAGAAAAGAATTCCGAGTCACGGCACCATAAAAAAAAAAGAAAGAAAAGAAATTTTTTAAAAAGAAATACCTGACATAGAAAAAGCGTTCAATAAATATTTCTTGCATGAATTAAAGTACTTTTGCTGAGACATTTTTCCCCACACCGACCCTCCAGCCAGTCCCTGGATCTGTGACGCATTCTTCGAGTGAAGACCCGGAGGTGACAAAACCCGGTAACCACAGGCGCCCGAGCCCCCGCCGCGCAAGCTCACGATTGGGCCAGGAGTGATGATAAACAAGCATTCAGCCCAATAGAAAGTCGTAGTTCTCTTGCTGGGCGTGACCTGAATGGCGACGTTGGCCGCCTCCTGGGCTGGAGCTCTACCCGCCCGGAAGACTCCCCTAGACCCCACCTCACTCTGCTTCCGGCTAGCTTTAGTTCCGGTTCCTGTCCGACTCGAGTCTTTGCAGAGGGTCACATTGAGCTGCAAGGTGCATCGGGGGTGCCTTTAGGTGAGTGTGAAGGGTTCTGGAACCTGGAACCCCAGCCTAACGGGCTGAGAATCTGGACCTCAGCTTCCCCGAGAACGGGTTGAGGCTTCCGGCTGGCGGCGTCCAGCCTCCTTGGGCCCCGGGACCCTGTTGTTCTGTTCGTCGTAAGAGCTAACAATGATGTAACAGGAGTTCTTCCTTGATGCGAGGCAACATCCCAAACAACTTAAATTAATTCATTTAACTCTCCCACCAGAGAGTTCTATGAGATAGGCCTGGGATCATCCCCTTTTGACAGTAAACAGGTTCGGAGATACCAAGGGACCTAGCCGAGCCTACACAGCGACCAGGATTTGGGCCAGGAGTTTGTCCTCCAGGGCTCTTCATCGCTAATTCACAGGCGTGGCCTCCCGCGGCTTGCCTGGGCTGCAGCCTGGCTCCCTGGTGTCCTGTCCATCCTCCCTTTTGGACGTGGGAGGGGCCGCAGCGTCACCTCCGAAGCACCCTCATCCTCAGATACCGGGTCGAGATATCGCCGGTAACCATCGTTCTGACTGCATCTGTGCCCCAGCGGCTGGTGTTTTACACCCCACCTCCCCACCGAAAGACCGTTTTAGTGCTCCAGACCCCCACCACCACTTTGCATCGCTTGAATTTGACACTGCTCTACAAGTCTCTGTATAGCCCCACGACTCCTAGGGATTCCCTCGAATATAGACACTTTCTCTCAGGTTCCCGACGAACATTATGTGTCACTTCTTCAGACATTAAAGATTTTTAACCCTGGGTCCGCAGAGCTGGGAGAATTCCAGGAATGCTAGTGTTTGAATTGGGGTGAGTGGGTGGAATTACATCTGTGTGTTAACCTTTTGAGGCAACAGCCTCGGTAGTACTAGCAGCAGCTGTGATTTTGTTAGCAATCAAAACCATAGACAGGTTTTTCTCCTTTTTTGAGGTGGTCTCTGTGTACCCAGGCTGTCATGCAGCGGAGAAATCTTGGCTCACCATAACCTCTGCTTCCCCGCGCAAACGATCCTACCTCAGTAGCTGGGACCAGAGGCATGCGCCACCACACCTGGCTAATTTTAATATTTTTTTTGTAGAGATGGGGTTTCACCATTCCCAGGCTGGTCTCGAACGCCTGTGCTCAAGTGACCCTCCTACCTCAGCGTCCCAAAGTACTGGGATTACAGGTGTGAACCACAGTGCCCCACCCAAAATCACAGATATTCTTATATCACATTATAACTGCAGATGTCACAAAAGACTATATCCACTCATTACTTGAGTGAGGTTGCAGGGAGTCTCGCTCTGTCACCCAGACTGGAGTGCAGTGGTGTGATCTCTGCTCACTGCAACCTCCGCCTCCTGGGTTCAAGGATTTTCCTGCCTCAGCCTCCCAAATAGCTGGGATTACAGGCACCCACCACCATGCCTGGCTAATTTTTGTATTTTTAGTAGAGACAGGATTTCACCATGTTGGCCAGGCTGGTCTTGAACTCTTGACCTTAGGTGATCCACCTGGCTTGGCCTCCCAAAGTGTTAGGATTATAGGTGTGAGCCACTGCACCTGGCCAAAATTGTATTTCTTAATGAATCCTCAGCTGGATATAACTGGTTTTCTTTGTGATACTATTCAGGTTTTTTTTATTTCTTCATGTATTCATGGAACCTATGCAGTGTTTTAATACATTTAAACATATTCAGGCCAGGTTTGGTGGCTCGCGCCTGTAATCCCAGCACTTTGGGAGGCCAAGGTGGGTGGATCATCTGAAGTCAGAAGTTCGAGACCAGTCTGACCAACATGGTGAAACCTCGTCTCTACTCAGAATACAAAAAAATTAGCTGGGTGTGGTGGCAGGCACCTGTAATCTCAGCTATTCAGGAGGCTGAGGCAACAGAATTGCTTGAACCTGGGAGGCAAAGGTTGCAGTCAGCCTAGATCGCACCACTGCACTCCAGCCTGGGCAACAGAGCAAGGGTCTGTCTCAAAAAATGAAAAAACATATTCAGTGAGAGGTTTATGGGATTTGTCAGACCACTGAGGAGTCTGTGGCACCAAAAAGATTAATAACCTTTGCAGTGTAGATTATGCCAACAATGGAGGTAGCCCACCATTTATTTTTATGCCAGATAACCTTAGGAAGTCACTTAGGCACCCTGTTCCTTCCTCGTCTGGGCAGTGGTGATAGTAATAGTTCCTATTTTCCTACCTTTTAGAGTGGCTGTAGGAGTCAAGTGCGTACAACAGCACCTGGCATGTAGTAAGCATTCAGTGAGTGGTAGCTCATGTTATTTGGGAACCAGGCTTGATTTTGCTGAGGATTTGCACCCCAATGCTGCCGTGACTTCCACACTCAGATGTGTGGAGCGCCCTGCCCCTCATCTTTGAGTGCATGTTGAGAGGCAGGAACTTGTTCACACCCCCCACCATTCTTCTGTGCCTCCTCTCTTCCATTGACCCTGGGTAGTCTGGCTTGCTCGGGGCCCCTGCCAACACCCGCTCCTTTCACCTCCAGGATTCAGCACCATGGCGGAAGAGATGAAGTCCAAACTCAAGAACTACAAGACTGCCCCTTTTGACAGCCGCTTTCCCAACCAGAACCAGACCAGGAACTGCTGGCAGAACTACCTGGGTAAGCAGGACCTTTCCCTGGCCCCACACCTCTAGTCACTCACCTCTTGCCCCTTCCTAGAGGACCCATCCACCCCGGCCTCCTCCCTTTTCTTCTGGACATCCTTCCTCTGGAGGGCCCATGCTTCTTATCACTTGCTGTTCAGGTCCAGGCTTGGGTTACAAACTTTGGTTCCTGCAATGATTTTTTTTTAATTTTAATTTATTATTATTATTATTATGGTTTTGTTTTTGTGGTCGCCCCCCCCAAGAGATGGGATCTCACTCTGTCACCTAGGCTGGAGTGCAATGGCACAATCATAGCTCACTGCAGCCTCAGTCTCCTGGGCTTAAGAGGTTGTCCTGCCTCAGCCTCTCAAGTAGCTGGGACCACAGACCCACACTACTGCGTTTGGCTAATTTTTTTTTGTAGAGAAGAGGTCTCATTTTGTTGCCCAGGCTGGTCTCAAACTCTTGGCTTCAAGCGATCTTCCTGCCTCAGCTTCCCAAAGTGTTGGGATTACAAGTGTGAGCCACTGTGCCTGGCCCCTACAATGATTTTTTTTTTTTAATGTGTATGTGTGTGCGTAATGTAACATGTACAGAAAGTACATAAAAAGCATGTACAGCTGAATAATTCCAGAGGGAACCCCTTGTGCAACCATAACCTGGGTAGAAAAGTAGACATTACCCACACTCTCCTCTGCTCTCCCTTGCCTTCCTTATGCCCTCTCTGGAACACAACACCATGCACTCCCCAATAGAGAAGCAACTCTACTAAGTAGGGGTGATCACATCTTTGTTTTTGTTTTGGTTTTTTTGAGACAGAGTTTTTTGCTCTTGTTGCCCAGGCTGGAGTGCAATGGCACAATCTCGGCCCACTGCAACCTCCGCCTCCTGAGTTCAAGCGATTCTCCTGCCTCAGCCTCCCGAGTAGCTGGAATGATTACAGGCGCCCACTACCACGCCCAGCTAATTTTTTATATTTTTAGTAGAGACGGGGTTTTACCATCTTGGCTAGGCTGGTCTTGAACTTCTGACCTCGTGATCCACTGTCTTGGCCTCCCAAAGTGCTGGGATTACAGGTGTGAGCCACCGCACCTGGCCTCACATCTTTGTTTTTTACCCCCATGTTTATTATTTTATTTTACTTTATTTTATGCTTTCTTTTATTTGTGTTATGTTGTTATGTTATTGATGTAGTTTTGTTCTTGTCATCTAGGCTGGAGGCTGGAGTGCAGTGGCACTATCTCAACTCACTGCAGCCTCCGCCTCCCGGGTTCAAGCGATTCTCCTGCCTCAGCCTCCCAAGTAGCTGGGATTACAGGCATGTGCCACCACACCTAGCTAATTTTGTATTTTGTAGTAGAGGCAGGTTTTTCCATATTGGTCAGGGTGGTCTCAAACTCCTGACTTCCAGTGATCTGCTTGCCTCAGCCTCCCAAAGTGCTGGGATTACAGGCGTGAACCAGCTCACCCGGCCTAGATTGTCTACCAGATGATTGGCCTGGCGCAGTGGCACATGCCTGTAATCCCAGCACTTTGGGAGGCCGAGGCGGGCGGATCACTGGAGGTCAGGAGTTCAAGACCTGGCCAATGCGGTGAAACCCAGTCTCTACTAAAAATACAAGACAAATCAGCCAGATCTGGAGTGGACACCTGTAGTCCCAGCTACTTGGGAGGCTGAGGCAGGAGAATCGCTTGAACCTGGGAGGCGGAGGTTGCAGTGAGCCAAAATCGCGACATTGCACTCCAGCCTGGGCAACGGGAGCAAAACTCCGTCTCAAAAAAAAAAACAACAGATGGTTCCCTTTCTGCCTTCATTCTTAGGACTCAGCATTCCGGCATCAAGATTATCTTCCCCACTTCTCTTGTCTTGTTTCTGGATTTCCACAGTCCCCACACATGCCACTCATCTTTCCCCATCATTCCTGGTGCCAGAAATAAACAGCAGTTCTCTGGAGGGGGTTGCAATATCAGTTTAGTAAGATGTCTAGCCCTTGTTCTTACACTTGTAAAATATGTTTCCTGTCTGCGTGTTATTATAATGTCTGCATAACTGATCATGAAGTAAAAAGTATTTCTCAGCCGGGCGCGGTGGCTCACACCTATAATCTCAGCACTTTGGGAGGCTGAGGCAGGTGGATCACAAGGTCAAGAGATCGAGACCATCCTGGTCAACATGGTGAAACCCCGTCTCTACTAAAAATACAAAAAAATTAGCTGGACATAGTGGCGCATGCCTGTAGTCCCAGCTACTCGGGAGGCTGAGGCAGAAGAATTGCTTGAACTTGGGAGGCGGAGGTTGCAGTGAGCCAAGATCGCACCATTGCACTCCAGCCTGGGTAACAAGAGTGAAACTCCGTCTCAAAAAAAA